AGAGTTCCTGTCCTCACGTCAGGCCTGTCCGAGGCCTGCTTCGAGGCAGTAAATCTTGTTTCTTCACTCGAGGTGACCCCTACAAATATAGTAATAATCTTGGGTTTATTCTGTATGAAATAAGATCTAGTTTTATTTTGACGGGGCTCAYGTGACCTCATGCAGCTGCAGCCTGTTTCACACTCAGATTTCACACGTTCACACCTCAGAGTTGTGCATTACAACTTCTGTTAAATGAACGTTTAGAGAAGAAACTGAAGGGTAAACACCCGGCACGAAGATATTTATCATTAATTACCAAGTAAAATAAGCAGCGCGCTCGTTAGTTCAATCTGAGGTTTGTTTTTTTTAAAGCAGTTCTGAGGTTTGACCGCAGCAACGTAAACACAAAATGTCTGATTACATCCAGACATCAGGTTGTTTGAAAGAAAACCGCTGCAGGAGTTTATCATGTTTTCTGGGTTTGTGTTTTTCACGTGACGTATAGCTTTGATCAGATATGCAAGGTTTAAATAGTTTGTTTTAATAAAATTAAAGAGGTTGTAAGTATTGCTTCCATGTGTGCTTTTCTTTTAAACTGAAACCTGAGTACAGATGTAGACAGCAGTGTTGTAGTCAAGACCACCTAACCAGAGACCAAGTAAGACCAGACGAGCTTGAGACCAAAACCAAGGCTAGTTCCCTAAAACAGAATATTCTGTWCACAAGTAGCTAACCTAATATGTGTAGCTAACAGTTACTAAATCTCTTGTGAGGGTCGGGTAAAGAGTTTTGAAATGGAGACAAATTGCTAATGTTAGCTAGCTAGCTTTACTAACATCCCTTCTCTGTCTTCCTGCTTCATTTCTAAGTGACAGTAAAAGTGTGATGCAGTTCCCACCGTCTCTGAAAGCTGCAGAGTGTACAAGTTTGATTTCTTCTGGATGTTGTTTTACAAATATGTATGGTTTATGTAGCTGAAGATTTTGCAGACATCTTCTCCCGCTCCCAGAGAACCGCTGCTCGGTTTCTTTTTTTTTTTTTTTTACCTGTTTTTCCAGCCAATGAAAGCAACGACATTGACAAATAAATTGGACAATATTCTGGAAAATTAGTGATATTTTCACAATTGTGTTTTTGACTAGTTTGGTTAAAACCAGCCCCTTCTGCGCTTYGCTTTGCACAGAGGGTCTGGACTCTCGGATATTGAGAAACGCTTGGCGTATGCAGTGTGCCAGCTCGACCGTGAAGGAAGCTAAGTTAAGAAGCTAACAGGAATTTGTCAAATGAGATGACTGTAAACGAGTGCTGCAGACAAATTTAATTTAATTTGAAACATGGACTGAATGGCTTCATTCACTTCCTCCGCTGCCATCGACGTCGTCGTTCACAACCGATTGGCTCGGTTGAAACTGTACCGGAGAAATCCCACTGAGATTATCATTAGGGGTTTACCAAAAAATTGATTCGCATCAGAATCGTGATTCTCATTTACAACGATTCAAAATTGATTTAAAATGTCCCAAAATCAATTTTTAAAAATTAAATAAGTAAATAAAGCAAATCCAATGGTGGTCAGCCTCCATATTGTAACTCTGTGGTACATCCTGATGTCACCACACAGTTGGTTCTGGAACGTATGCGTGCACAGAAAGCACCAAAACAAAGAACTGCAAAGCTGGAGGAAAGAGATTCAACTGACCCCATCTTCAATAAAGGCAAYGATTTGGGCTCATTTTGGATTTTACTGAATGAGTGTTAGTTTGACATGAGCTTCACTGTGTGCAAGGTTTGCAAAATGAAGATGAAGCACTTTGGGAACAAATGGGCTCACATCATCACAGTGGCAGATCTAGGATTTTTCTGGGTCAGGGGCCATCAAGGGGTCACAATATTCATAGAGGTGCCAAGTCTTTGTTCAACATCCTTTCACACAAATCTCCAGTGTATACATTTTACACTTCAAACACTTGTAATGTAATGTAATTTTTTTTTAAAAAGGTACCACTTTACAATAAGGCCCCCCTTATAGATGGCTTTTAAAGAGTTTATAGATAGGTTATTAATTAATCTGTAAACACTTTAAAAATTACTAATGAGTGTTTATTATGCAATAATTAAGGACGATAAAGAGACAAAATTGTCCAGTTAAATTTATTAATGATTTATGAAGTGTAAACTTTACAAATTAGTTAATAACCTATCTATAAAGTCTTTAAAAGCCATCTATAAGGGGAGATTGATTGTAAAGTGGTACCAAAAATCTTGCACAGTAAATTCTCCTCAACATTTTTTCATACATTTTACTGTACATAGATAAAATATTTTCACACATGTGAGAAAATCCAGCCGTCATTTGTTAGTAGAAAGACTTTTGCAGGATTGTTCACATTTTAAGAAGAGAAGAAGAATTCTGTCAGCTTGATTCATTCTGGACTTTACTATTTGACTCATTAGCACAACTAGTGTTTGAACATGGAACTGCATYCACCATCATCACCCCCCAGATAAAGGACAGAGAGTAACAGGACAGAGGCACTTCAGGGGGCCAATCAGATTTCAACTGGGGCCAATGCCCCTGTGGCCCTGCCCCTAGAAGCGCCCCTGCATCATCCGTTTTGAATGAAAAATAGATTTTGAATCGAATCATGAGATAGCAAAAAATCACCACCCCCTAATTATTATCGTTCAAATTAATGTAAGAACAAGACAAGACCAAGCGTGAGACCATCAGCACCAGACATGAGCTCATTAAGCATTGTTTCGCTGTTAAAAATAAAACCCACCCCAGAGCAGACCACCTTGAATAACTCGTAAAAATCAGATGATTATTCCGTGAAACACCAGGAGGTTTTCCATCCGGTCCACTCTCACACACACCTGCCTCGGTTGTCTGCCTTCAACGTCACGTCTTTACGTTCCCCGGACGCCCTCGCCTGTCGCCTGCTGGAAACCTGAAGCTGAACAAGTGTGTGCGTGTACATGCGCACACATTTGTGTACGCCTCTGGCACTACCAGGCTTCCCCGCTCTCCTCCTCCAACCCGGTGTGTCAAAGTTTAGATTTCCCCTCGGCCCGTCTGGTAATTGAAAGCAGAGGCTGAGCCTGGAGGTGTGTTKCTGTGTTTGTGCGTCTCTGCACACGTGTTTGCACCGGCCTCTCTGCATGTATATGTAAGTTTAGTCGAGTGTATAGTTTGTGCAATCAATGCGTGTATTCGTTCGTTTATTTGTTTTTTCAGTGTTTGTTTGCTCGGAGAGCCCGTGCGCGCCCGTGTGCACGTGTTGCAGCTGTGCCGGGGCGGTGAGACTTGGTAGGGTGCATGAAGAATGAATGAAATTCAAGCGTTCAGAGTCTATCTTTGCTTCACATGCACAGCTGGAGGCATGGCCCGAGGCTGCACCAGTGTCCGGCTATTTATAAGAAACTGTCCACAACACGGGGAAAACAGAAAGATGGAACATAATTTCAACACTTTTACTCAGGGAGACGGCTCAGAGCCTCTGCACTGTTACTGTGGAATAATACATCATAACCAGCTGTCAGTCAAATATTACTTAAAACCTTATAATAACTAATTACTTTGGGATGAAAAGACTTGGCTCGTTTTGACATTTACTGACATCTGGGATCAAATAATCCTGCATTTTCTTTCCTCCTCATGTCTCYGTCCCCTGACAGCCGATCTCAAATCAATCTGTAATGTTTGTCGCTGCATAAATCACCAGCCCAACTGCTGCTGCGCTGCTTCATCCGGCCCACAAACACGCCGAATAGAGAGCGGCGAACTCTCCCGCGCGCCGGTGGGATCCAGGCCCTCCCAGAGCTCAGCCGTCAGCCTGAATATGCGATGAGCTGCGGCGCGATTTGTCGATGCGGCGTCGGCCTGGCAAATCCCCTCTGCTATTACGGAAGCRTTTCACCCCGGCTCCTCGGTCGGCCGATTCATTAACTACCTCATTTAAAGTCAAGAGCAGCCAGCAGTCGCTGCGCCATATGGCGACCTTTGGAACGAGTTTGTTTCCGAGGTAGATTTGTTGTCTCCGTGTGAAGTTTTGATTGGTTTTGTTGTTCTAATGTGATTTAAACCCAAACATTTATTTACTCAGAGTGAAAAACGACAGTGAAACTCCTAAAGATGTGATTGGGTAATAGTAGAACCTGTACTTTATTAGAAATTAGCTTTTTGACTCATTTTAACCAATCTTTTCAATGTTTTAAAGGAAATTACTAAAACTTTGACAATTTGTGTAGAAAATAACAATTTTTGCCAAATTATTTGGTAACACTATTATTTAACCTTACTTACTCATTAATAAATGGCTTGTTAACCTTGAAAACATCATTAATTAGGATGATTCATRCTTAAAAAGCTAGAAATTAACACATTTACCCTCAAAGGCTAAAACTTSTAAAACCAACATACTTATTTTTGAAAATCTCATGAATGAACTATTCTATATACTGTGTACATGKATGTAAAAGCTAATGTAAATGTACTTTCACATCATGTGTTAGACGTGTATTAATGGTTAGAGAACAGTCTAATCCTGCAGTGCATCAATAATTAAGGGAGTTGTTGGTAGTTAGGTCTTTTTTGAACCCTTCTAAAGGATCATTTATGTTTTTTTGCATATTTATTAATGTTGAAAAACCCCTGAAGGGCCAYAAGCTCCTTTTCACCTGTGGAAATCAGACCAAAATCATAAAAGCATTCTCTGTCCAAAAGCTGTTAAAATYAACCCACCTGTCTTAAAGGATGTGTCCAAATTCAGGGTCTGGGTCCTCCRARGGACAAATTTGTCAGCCGTTTACRTCACAGCGCCGTGCAGGAGAYTGTTCRAATTTAAAGACTCCTCCGATGCTGCTGACAAATGTGTCCTCATTTTCCCCCAGTTTGAGGGACGGGTTCAGTGGATCCTTCTCGGTCCACCATATCCCATAATGCATTGTGGGCAGACTGGAGATTTGCCTGCTCGTAATGGTGAACAAAGTGAGAGAAAGGAGTTCAGTTTGAAATAAAACTCTGAAGCTATGAAAATTTGATGTTTCATGTGCTGTTAATGCTTTTATCATTTATAAAGGCATGTTTTTAATATTATTCTTGTCAGAAATCAAACGAGCTGGTGTAGAGAAATGAACGTGCCGCTTAGTTCTTCAAATATTGCCTTTAATTTAATTTAGTTGTTTTATGATATTTATAATACTAATATATTGATATTAGGATGTACACTGGTGTAAGGACAGGAATAAAGCAGAAGGCTAGACTGGCCAACTAGGGCTGGGCCAAATGGCCCAAAAAAAATCTCAAATATTTTCATCCCAAATTTAATTTTCGATTTTAATCAATTTTGTTTCCCATTTAATATAGTGCCTCTGTTTCAGGTGTTGAAACAAATTTATTCTCTTGCTTTTTGTAGCAAGAGACTTAAAACAGATTTTGCAGTGAGGTGTTCATTGCTCCGTGTCTGAGGTTGTGAAACCGAACCAGTTCTAGAAAACTGAAGAAAAGGTGCCTTTTTTGAGAAGTAGATCCTCTTTGCTAGCTGACATATTGTCATGTCATGTACCAAGTGTCTTGAGGGGCAGGTGGGTTGACCTATGAACTACAGAAGCCCCAAAGAGTGCACTGGTGGGAAAAAAAATCCTGATTTTCCCCAAATTAAATCATTATAAATGTCCTATTTGATTTAATCGATTACATCTATTTAAATAATCCAAATTCACAGACACTTTTTTCTGGTCTTCGTCCAAGGACCTAGCCCACCTAGACCGGGTCGTCCCGGGTTCTTTCAAGGACCCAGCCCCTGAACTTGGACACAGCCACTGTATTTCCACTTCACTGGCCCAACAATATGAAGGGCTATGATAATTTTCACTCATGGTGCGTACTTCATCTTTGAATTACATTGAGATTAAACATGACATTGCAAGGCTAAACAATAAGACCCAATCACTGTGTAAATATGGTCTTATAATAACGTTTTTTTTTTTTTTTGGAACAGCTAAAGATGATGTAATTTTTTAACAGTGGGCCTTACAGGGTAAATGATGTCTTCAAGGTTAACTAACAGTTATAAAAGATTAAATAAGATGTAGTTATTATAAAGTGTTACCAGCTGTTGATATACAGTAGAAGCTTTTTAACCTCATTATCAATTGCATACTGACGTTTTATCCAAATTATCCCAWTGGGTCATTGCCCGTACACAGAGTTGAAGCACGTAGATCTTTTTACTGAAAATTATTTCAGGACAGAAATTGTATCAAGTAGTATCTCCTCTACTCCGTAAACTCAACCTGTTTGTTTACATCAGATCCTGGTTGGCAGCAGTTATTACAACACCTCAACCATTTAGTAAGAGCCAAGGATCATTGGTCAAAGACCTTTTGCCAAAATCGAATCCCAGCCCGGCCGGTTACAGTCATCGATCGGGGTAATTTGGCTCCAGTATTGACTCCGGTGTTATTGTTCGTTACGTGATGCCAGCAGTGATGGTTATCTTTATAGCAGGGGTTGTCATCACCGTCAGCAAGAAAAAAACAGAAGCCATAGCAAATCAATAGAGTCAACGATCCAATGGACAAACACCGAGGCCAGAGACACCCGCCCAAACGTGCGCGCTCGCTCTCCGAGGCYGGACATGTGAGCTTACGGGTGACAGAGCCTGCTAACGCTCTATTTGTTCAGCAAACAAGGAAGTGTCATCACAGGTCTTGAGGGAAATGTCAAGATGGTCACGAGTTAACCTTCTTCCACACGGTCTCAGCTGGCTCGCTAACAGCCAGTGACTCAACGCTCGATTGAGAATCCATGCCCATTTATCCTCGTTATTTCACTGCTCACATTAGCTCAGAAAGCTGCTCCTCTCTTCATCTGTTAGTGTTTAGTAAAWATTAGCACGACTCCTTCTTTTCCCCCTTCTATTAAAAATAAAGGGTTGTTTTTTTATTAGTTCAGACACGGTTTTAAAGGACTTCAATGCTTAAAATGGTTGTTTGACTTCACTCAGGAGTCTCCAGGGAGCCCACTGGGACCCCAGCAGCCTGTGGACACCACCCTGGATGACCACGAGCGCAGAATCTCCCACTCCTTGTACGGTGGCCTTGAAGGCCTTGATGACAACTTGATGCCACGGCAAGGAACCATTCCTCGGACAATAGGTAAGACGATCATTTCCTGTAGCATTTACTCCCTTTTTGATGTTTATTTTCATTCCTAAAAGCATCGTTAGAATTATTTTAGGTGAGGTTCTGTGGAAAAGCTGTGTTCAGTCATTATCCTGACCGCTAATTACTCTTTGAGCAACRTCAGTTTGGAGAAATGAAGATGAGTTTAAACTACAGCTATTTCTGCCGTCTTTAAACAACTTTAATCTTAAAAAGTTTGATAAAGTTCATTATTTTTYAAACCTTGACACTAACATCACTTTTAAATTAGACTGTTATCAYGATTCAAACAATGGCTAATCAACCAAATCATACACAAGAGGTTTTGAAAAAATCATGTTGYGTGCAATTCATGGTCAAAAAATCTCTTTCTCTGGTTATTATTAGCCGTGTTTCCATCAACGTATTTAATGCACATTTTGAAGCATCGCATCAGAAAAGGTGAATGGGAACGACATAGTTYGAAAAAAAYTTCCTCTAATTCACAAAACAGTTTATACGCTCTCTTGAGGTAGTTTTGGGGTTTTTAAAATTTTAAAAATTTGAATTAAAATTGGATGGAAACACGGCTATTGACGAAACTTAAGCCTAAATTCAAACACACTAAACACCTTTTCCACCAAACTCCATTCAACTTTCGCGTCTTTCTATTTTCAGGTGTCAGTCAGGAAGGAGTTTCAGGGTTTTATGTTAGTTCGGCAGAGTGGAGGCGAGACARTTTTTACTGATATTGAGTTAAAATRTGGTGTGGTAGAAGCTGAGACTGATCCAAACTACGTACTATGAGCACGAAAAGATGAGAGATGTTTCTTCAAAACTCTGGTGGGTGACGTGCATTTCTTCAAGAAACACKACTTAAATTTGTATGGAAGGATTTTTTTCTTATTCAAACATAAGTTTGAGTCTGTTTGTTGCAAGTCATTCTGGTGAAACTTGTGCAGTAAAAACAGGTTGTTTTTATGTTGAAGATTCTGTAAAGTCTTTGACACTGACCCTAACCTTAAAAAACGGGACAATACAAGAAAAAAAAACAAGTTTTGTTTGTGTTATTCTGGGATTTTGATTTTTTATTTTGTTTGTGATGAAGTTGCATCATTTGCACTCGGTTTGTAAAGCCTTGATGGTGTTCAATGTCAGGAAAGTCAAGGAGCCCCAGATTGTAGGAGAGACGTCCTCGTGGCAGAGCCCTTCTGCTTACATGGCTGCTGATTTGTGTTTCTGAGAGCCTTTGTGTTTCTAGTTGACCTATCTGTCATTGGTAACCCGAGCTGTGAGAGGGCTTTGAAGTGTGTGTGTGCGTGCGTGTGTGCGTGCGTGCGTGTGTGTGTGTGTGTGTGTGTGTGTGTGTGTGT